GAAAATTGAAAGTTAGTACAGATATTACAATTATCAAAAGGAAAAAAAACTAAGGGGTGCTCCGTTTGCTAGAATGACATTTTTTTCCCTACATACATACAAAAATGAGACCACTCTAATGTACATGCATCACAATAGTTTAATATTCTTTCGCTTAGAACTTTTCGCAATATGGATGACGATGGCAGCAAAGCGTTGAATGAGGAAGAGTTCACCAATGGCATACGCGAGATGGGCTTAGAAGTGACCGATGAAGAAATTAAAGAGATGTTTCAAAGGTGAGTTTGCATGTAGAAAAACGCAAGTTTTCGCCTCTCTAAAGGCAGAAAAGTTTAATCGAATTATATACATAATTACTTTGTGTGTACGACTACTTAGTTTTGACGAAGATGGCAGCGGTTCCATTAATATGACTGAGTTCCTATTGAAATTGCGGGTGAGTGTGCATTTTGAAAGTTAGAAAAACTTACTTTGAGCAACAAATGCTTGTATGCATGTATGCATACTATGGTGGTCCAAAAATGCCTGTGAAAAAGTAAATTGGAAATTTTTATGCTCTCACCCCCTAGGATTGTTCTATACCGAAAAAAATATATCCCTAGTTGTTTTGTTTTGAGACCAAAATATATATTTAGAGGTCGCTCAAAGCACTCAAAATTTTCCACTTATTTTATATTAAAAAAAAAAAAACACTTTTCGTAGAAATGGTATGGAATTCTTGAAAATCAATATTTTTCGATCGGCAAAACCCTGTTCCTCTTCAGAAGATTCCCAATAATATTACTAAGCTATTTATTTAACAATTTTTTAAAGTAACTATATTCTATAGGCTCGCCAAAACCCCCAGAAAATGTCAGAAAATGCAATGGGGGCAAAAATAAAAAATCGTTGTTATTAATAATAAACAATTGGGTATTGTTACTGGGAGTCTGCTGAAGAGAAGCACAGCTTTCTGATCGAAAAATATTGATTTTCAAGAATTCTATACAATTTCCACGAAAAGTTTTTTTTCCCCCATATAAAATACATGGAAAACTTCGAGCGCTTTCAGCGACCTCTGAATATTTTTTGATTTCAAAATAAAAAATAAGGGTATATTTTTTTCGAAATAGAATAATCCTAGAGGTGAGAGCATTAAAAATCCGACTTCACTTGAACCACCCTAAAATGCACACACATACTACATATGTATATACTTATGGCAATTTTGTAATGAATGACCTTATCATTTCCGGTAGCCACCGATGCCACAGTGCCGTCTAGACATCATCGATCAAGCATTTGCGAAAATGGACAAGACCGGAGATGGCGTTATTACTTTGGATGACTTGAAGAATGTGTATTCGGTGAAGGAGCATCCGAAATATCAAAGCGGCGAAATGAGCGAAGATGAAATATTGACGGATTTTTTAAATAATTTCGAGGGTGGCCGTGGTAATTTGGATGGAAAGGTAAGCTAGATTCGTGCACATTGTATCACATTTCTACCGTTTTATCTACTACATACTTTGTTATGCTGTACACTTTTCTTGTAGATTACCAAAGAGGAATTTGAGAACTATTACGCAACAATTAGCGCCTCCATTGATAATGACATGTTTTTCGATCTGATAATGCGACGTGCGTACGCTTTATAAATCATTTATTTTTACACCTCTAGATATACATACGTACATATTTGTATGTGCATTACAAAATCACTCACGTAAGCCGCGTTGCTTCATTATTTATATTTGTGTATTTTCCCTTAGTTTAGTATTCCAATTAAGTGTGTTTTTATGATGTGAAACTGTTGAAGTGATCGAATATGCAAGCCTACATACGAATATTTGTAATATTAATGTTTGTTTAAATAAATCATATATGTATCTACTAAATATTTATATGATAACACATATTAAATAAAAAATTCATGGGCTTAAATTGTTCGGCAAACAAGCATAAAAACCGTACTTTTTCTTGAATGGAAGTAAAAAAAACGATAAAAAATAATTCGCAAGTATTTCTTTTGTAAATGTTTATATTTAATGAATCTGCTTATTTACACACAGGTATTAAGCCTAACAAAACGTTTGAAAATCTGAACTATAATTTACAATGACAAGACTAAAACCCTTTATTTTAGTTAGACGTATATGTATATGCACATTTCTATGTATATACATAAATATGTATGTAATTTATATACCGTCATCCCTTGTCAAACTGGGTTTGGAGACAAACCGGTTTCGGCGATGTGCCATCTTCAGTGTCATTTTTCGTTCTCTTTCGTCCGAAAAATGACACTGAAGATGGCACAACGCTGAAACCGGTTTGTCTCCAAACCAAATTTGACAAGGGACGACGGGAAATCATTCCACAATACATCACACTCCTACCCTGTCGGAAATACACACAACCAAAGAGAAGTAATTTGTATACCATAAAATAATTACCACCATAATTGTTATACACAAATATAAGTTCATATTCTTACTTTCGTTCCAACTATCGCAAAATTTTTTCTACATGTACATATCTACATATCGTTACCTTAATATAAATACTGAAATACAAGAATCCGTAACTAATTAAAAAGTCAAAATTCCCTTTTGATTGATTATGGTGCATTTTCATCATTTTAAGCAATGCAGTTTTTTAGTTAGCCACGGCCTTTTTTGCATTTCAGCGACTATATGAGTTAGGGCCTATCTATATTCAGGTAACAATATGTGTACATATATGTACAAATGTGTTGACTTAAACGAGCTCGTCAGCAACCTATATTTGCTTTTATAAAGGAACAAAAATTAAATTACGTACATACATACGTAAATATCGAACCCTAACCGTAAGCGCCATTTTTTTTCAAAATTTTGAAAAAAATGTCGCTTACGTTATTTTGGCGGTTAGGGCGGTTGGCTTCACTTGGCGTCTCCAATTGGCGTCAGTTGGCACAGAGGAGAAACGACTGGCGTGCTTTGCTGAATTCGAAGAAGAAGGGTACATATGCAGCTTGAAACGAGTTGATAGTACGTACATCAAACGAGTCATACGTGTATATTTCAAACAAGCTTTCCTAATGAATAGCTTGTCATGAAACATATGTATAATTGCTTCGTTTGTTGGCTTGCCTTGCAATGTGTTGGCTCGAAACTCCAAATTGTTACTCGAAGCATATCACTACTACATACCCAAAAATTCTCAAATTATTTAATTTGGTACCCATACAATTTCACACTTCTGTTACTTACATAGTGTATGATTTTGGCTATTAGCCTGGACAATGTATTTTTATAAAAAAATGTATAAAAAATTTAATTTTGCAAACACTGAATATTGATATTTAAGAAATTTATTTACAGGTTGAGGATGAGAGTGAATTTCTATTCTCATGCGAATCGTTCTCATCGTTTCATCAAGTAAATTTCAAGAAACTCCTACTTTCCTCCCTCTTTCCCAATTTGACCATCGCTAATTTCAAAAAATGTCTACCAAAATTGTCTAACATGTACTGTTTGCCTTATCCTTAGACGACACTACTTCGTCGAGTCATTATTTTTATATTAGCTCTCATGGTTTTGAACAAATATTTTTTGTAGTATTAGTCGTGGGGAAGCTGCTGAAGTAAGTAACGGTTTTCAAAAAATACGTCGTCGCTAAGAATATTAAAAAGAGTATAGTCATGCGTAAGCTCTTCACCGAAACAAATGTCAAAAATACTTTATTTGAAATAAAAAGTTGGTTTGACGTTTTTTATTTCCAAAGAGAGCTACAGGATTAAAAATTTTGGAATAGAATTAAACACAGGGTGTCCCTGTGGTATTCCAGAAAAACAATTTTTTATTTTTTTATCAAAATTTATTATTATTATTATTTATTAATTTATTAAATTGTATGGGTTTTCAGCTTTCGAAGAAAGAAATAACAACCTACTAGTTTTTTGCACTTTTTGAAGTAATACGTTTTTTGCAAATGCATAAAATAATTTTTTTCATTTTTTGTCAGTGCCATCAGATCTGTACGATTCGTTCTATATTCGAAAATTAAATGTCATATTAAAAAGCTTGATCTGTAGACAATGGAGGTTTATTTTTTTTTAGAGTTGCCACCTGTTAAAAAATTAAATTAAAATTTTTTAATAAGTTAAATGAATTATTAAGAGATGGGTTTCAATCGAAATGTGTATGAAAAGAGTTTATTTCTTAACTATATGTAGAGGATTGCCAACTGTTAAAAAAATCAAATTCTATTAGAATTAAAGGAATTAAGTTATTGAAATAGATAGGTGTCACCATATGGCCGTCAGACGAACAAGTTTTAAGAAGGTTTTAGCTTGAAAATATTACGAAGAGGGTTGCCACCTATTTGTAAAGTCAAATTTAGGTAAACTGAATAAATAGTTGTGTCAAACCAAAGGGTAACGACATCGTATTTGTTATTTTACTACAAATACATACATTGCCAATCAGTGATTTGTTCTTATTACATTTCTTCTAAACTACTGGACTCTTAAATTAACTCAGGAATGTTTTTACTCTCCACTTATTTCTTGCAAAATGTCTTCTATTTTTTCTTTTGTCTGACACCCATATTGATATACATATTTCAGTTACATTATTTCCTTAACTAAAGTGAATTTGATTTTTTAAACATGTGGCAACCCTTCTACGTGTCATTTGAAAGTAAATAGTTTTCAAAACCATTTCAATTGATACCCATATATAATGTCTAATTCATTTAACTTATTAAATAATTTTAATAAAATTTGTAAAAGGTGGCAACCCGTTTCAAAAAAATACAACTTTGTTGCACATCTACAGGCCAAGCCATTTGACACCTCACTTATGAAAATAGAACGAACTATAGGTACATACGAAAGTAAATGCGACAATAACCCAAATTTCCAAATTCAAAATGCACTTACAGTGAATATATGAAAGTTAACGAAAAATAAATTGCATTTTTGAATTTATTTATCCTCAATTTTACTAAGAAGCGAATTTTTGGTTAAATCCGTCCATAATTCTATTTTTGCCCACATTTCATATGGAAGGGAAGTTTATTTGAATTATTTCGTTTATAGATAAATTAAAAAAAAAATACAAAAAAGTAAAACACATAAAAAACCCGCATTTATATTACATCGGATTGATTTAACGTACGCACGTCTTAAGCATTTCGCATAAAAAACTTAACCATATTGCAGAAGAAGTTTCCATGCTTAACGAAATTTCCATACTCATATTCACATTATTTTAAATGTGTAATTTCCTCAAACTTTTCGACCAAAAATATTGCTAAAATTCAGAGTTGCTGCTCTGAGCGTTTTTAGTATTAATATACATATGTATGTACGTTATACTTTCAGTCGCATGCAGTATGACCAATTATATATATTCACTATGATATTCAAGAGCAATCAAGTTGCATAAAATTTGCGAAAATGTTTCAGCACAAAGCTGCCATAAATGGCAATAACAACAGTCGGGAAGAGTTATTATATTTATGTATGTACGTATACATACACTCATGCATAAATATATACATATATACATATATATGTATATACATATGCATTTATATCAGTTTTGATAATTGCATTTTCCAATTTCGTATGAAAATGTAATTCAAATTGTAATTTTTATACGACCAAATTGTACCAAATTTTGATTAGTATTATTTTTATAATAAATATTTATTTATTGAGTACAACTTGTATAATTATTGTTTCTAATTAAGTATAAATAGTTGCTAAAAATTTGTAAACAGTATTACCTTTATTTTATTTACATAAAACTTTACACTGCTACATCAGTTATTATGATTTTAAATGGATGTAATCTATATAAACACAAAGATTTATGACCTATATTCATAAAAAATAAAGTAGGTTTAAAAAGCTTTATTAAGTGACGTTTTCATACAACTTTCAATTTATAAACCTTTTATTAAGGTATTTTTAAAGCAATCTACATATATTTTACAAAGTTGCTAGTAGATTCCAAAAATTTAGTTATACAATAAATAATTGCTCGTGAGTCTCAACTGGGTCTGAGCTTTTTATCAATGTTATGTTATGACAGGATTGTCCACTAGAATTGAGATAATATCCACTTCTGATTAAAAAGAAAACCGTTTCTAAATACTTGAAGTCTACATTTCGAAATTTGGTTTATTAGTTTTTGTATGGAACAGATCCTTTTCACATTCGCTGAAGAATGTGCAATCGACAACAATCCTCTAACAATATAGCAGTGGCTTATTTAAAATATTTTTGGTGATTCTTATTTTTTTCCAAAACTCACAAATATTATGGTTGACAAAATTCTTTAAATCAAGGTGTTCAGCCCTAAGTTCTGTGTTGCTGTCTTCTATTCGAGCAATTTCATACTTCTGAAAGAATAAATGTGTTAGTGGAACAATGATTTGCCTATTGCCTTGTAATACAGCAGAAGCATTCAGATTTAAAACCGAAATTAGAACTTCGTCTTTAAAAGTATTATTTTTCTTTGTTTTGGCTAATAATACTTCTGCTCCACAATGCACGGCTCGTATATCAATTTTACGCGATTCTAAGGGCCGGTTGCTCAAAGTCTGGTAGACACTAATCTTCGGATAACATTGTTATCGTCTCCTTCGGCCCCATGCATATAACACGGTGACGGCTGGGTAGTAGGAAAGTAGAAAGCACTTGAAATTGTATCTAAAAAGTACAATTGTATCGAGATTATCAACACTGATTTATATATGTATGTAATTTTTCGGCGAGGGAGTTTTTGGAATATCTTTGAAAAGTGGGAAATAAATTTGGTAAGCCTTAGAATGCGCTTTGTATTACTTATTTACAAAATTGCACTATACACAATAACGTGGGCCGTAAATCCGCTTTTCTGGAATTTTGATTAGTAATAGCAAGAATAAAGTGCATTATGCTGTAAAAAACAATCTGCGTAATAG